TACGTTTCCCGCGCGCGGTATCATCGATACAATTTTAATTATCGCAACGACCCCGAGAATTTTAACTCTACTGTACGACGTTAAACGCTATAACCGATTTCCCGATGGATATTACTTCGTAACCAGCTAATTTTCTAATGACTTTTTGGTCGGCTGTACCATCAAGCGTTCGACGTTTTCTCTGTTCGATTTGCCGCTCTCCTTTCTGTTCCCGTTGACCAGAATCGAAAGACATTCAGAAAATCGTCGACCATCGCGCGCACACGTTACGCCGATTCCGTTGACGCGCCGGTTCTTTGTCTGGTAGGCCTTCGATATGCACGATATACAGTCGTCCACAACATCGATAACATTTAGTCACTGGCGAACTCACGATGGCTGCGTCTGCAATACGTTCATCGTATCTACTCATCGAATTCTGTCGCGACCGTGTCTTATCGTTCCACTAATCGTTCCAACGGAAGTCAGTCAAACGAGAAGCGAGGTGCAACGGAAACGTAATATGTAATATCCGCAGTAATTCGCGAGAAACGGAACTCCGAAAGACACGTAGAAGAAGAGGAACGCCAACAACTCTCCTCGTTCGGGAATAAATAAAAAGTTTAATCACGTCCTTAGAAAAAAAGAGTCTTGTTATAAACAAAGCGAACAAGTTATTCGTATCATACAATCATATAAAAAAAAAGTCTTTTCGTCAGAAGTGATTGGAATGTTAGCGCGGTCTCTCGATACAACCCGGAGACAACACCAGTACGTCCTTCCGCGTTGATTGTCCAACCCTATCCTCGTGCACGCGACGAATAATCGAATAAATAAAAATTTTGAACAAGAAGAGACAAGGAGAAACGAAATGTAAAAGAACCGGCGTTCAGACATAAACTAAAGGAAGCTTACATTCAATTTCTTTACGCTGATCGGACGAGGAATATCACCGTTCTGTTAGCGATTTGCATATGGCAAAATCCTTGACGACGCCATCGTCAAATTTCTATCCCCTGTACGCACGACGAACAGCTGTAAACGCAGCCACGCGTCGATTCGTGCGTGATAAAAAACCCGAACGCCCCGAGTACAGAGAAATAACGAGATGGCGAACGGTTCGGTGGGGGTTTAGACACGCACGGTCGTTACACCCCGTCCGCGAACGTAACAAAGAGAAAGAAGGGAAAGTAAAACCGTACATACAATGTGAAACGAAACGAGAAACGTGTGCGTCCTCGATTACGATTGTGTTATGCTGACTAGACTCTAAATTATCATTCTATACACATCCTATCGTTAATCCTCTCGAGTTAATTATGTATAATATTTATATTATGTATAAACGATGCGCCAATCGGTTCCCGGGCAGATTTCGACGCGGGAATCGCTCGGTTGCGCGTGCCGCCCTCTCTTCGTGCGCTACGCTCATCGTCGTTTATCAATTTTTGTTTAAATCTATATATATATACATATACATATATATATTTATATACGTAGATATATATATAAACATATACACATATATTTAATAATAATTTATATATATATAATGTATATAGATCTGTGTAGGTACATTCAGAGTTTACGGTGTCTCTTATCATAAAATACAGTACAGATCGCGTGCGCCCGCGCGCAACGAGGGTCATCCCCGTGGCGTGTACGGGGGACAAGCGTTGCCGAGCATCCCCCGATTCTCGTTGCGCTGTTTCGCTTCGTTAATATTAGCGAGCCGCTTCGAACGACACGATTAGGAGGGACTGGAATGGCAGCGTTGAAAATCGGTGCTTTCAACCGCCAAACTATCACACGGCGTCTATTCACGGGGAACCCTGTCCACGGTCCGGCGAATGGGCGGGTGAAACGCATGCGCCGGTCACGCGAGAACTCGCGTGGCGGGAAATTGGAGAAAACGCGGTTTTACACAGTTCACAACGATATTTTCCTTCTTTTTTAGCATCCCCTCGACCGTCTCACATCACAAATATCCGAACATAATAGATTTATATTTGTATTTTCATTCGTCTTTATATACCCATATTTATATATATATATATATATATATTTATATTTATATTTATATACTCTTCCCTTTTCGCTGCTCGTCATGTGTACGGCCCGTTCCCTCGCGCGATTGTTTCTCATTCGCCACGCGGTCGCTTTAAGCACTAACAATGATCGGTTCGTTCGCAAGTGAAACTAGATTTCTACCGGAGCCTAGACGCTCGTCGTCGTCGATATTCTTTTTGTTTTCTAGAATTCTGTGGTCGGTATTGTTTGCGTGTGTCTGTATCTATGAATTACACGGGGTGTCCGAAAGAAAACAGAGTACACACAAATTTCACGTCTGCCTGGACCTAAACGGTCAACGATCGTCTCCGTTAACTTGGATTGTAAAATTTATATGTACCAACGTCCATCAACGGCACTCAGTGTCCATACATTTTCGTCGGAACACCCTGCATAAGTATGTAATGTGGATGTGTGACACGAGAACATGTATACGTGTGCGCGTGAATGTGTGCCAGACACGTCTTTCCACGGCTGGTGTGCGCGGAACATATGGTCGAGTCGTTGATTCGCGTCCGATCATTCTTTAATTTATCGGAACGAACGATACACGCGCCACGTGGTCGTGCGCGGTATGGAACGCGATCATCGACTCTTCCGCATCGCGTAGGGAGGGATTCGCTGAATTAAATCGGTCCAGAGGAATTATCTATTTCCATGACAGCTGGCCCTCTCGAGGACACAGCAGCGTCGTCTCGTTTCTGTCCGGCACGAGTTCGCCGCGTCTCATCGACATCTAGTTACGATGCCCGTGATCGAACGTCACCGTCGACGATCTCCAACGATCGTACCTGAGGGATCGAAACCCGAGACGATCGTTCGATCGCGTGCATCGCTTCCGATCAGACGCTAAGCCCAACGCCGGACGTCGGCTCGGTTTCTCTGATTCGCCGGAAGCGCTAGCGCCTCCAGCCGGTTTCGCTTCGTAATAGAATTCAATCGCGGTGTCTCGGATTAAATTTCGCTTGTGTACGCGGACACTAGAACGTATCACTTGTTTTTCATTTACTTTTTACCAGACTAATTGGTCGAATAGGAAGAAACAGTCGAGGATCTGTGAATCGAGTTTCCGTTGCGGCAGCGGATCTGTCGTAGACGAAGATGCTTGGGTATTACTTACGAACGCAACATTGATGTTACTCGGCAATTCTACTTGTGAATGTCGATGATCGGAGTACTTTGCTACCATCAGCACATGGAACGTACTATCAAGTTTCTGATCGACGGAATGTAACATTCCGTTCTATCATTCTTGATGACTGTATTCGGCTGCGATGGGATCAAGTATTCTGATCGTTAACGCGTTCACCGTTTCAGAATGAAGTTGATCGTTTTCATTCTCTTTCCCTTCAAGTGCCACTACTTTGCCACCTTTTCCTCTTTCCCTCGGCCGTCGTTTTATGTTTCTTAGTTTCGTCGACGAGTCGAAAAGGTAGCAAAAAATACAATCGATGTCACGACGATCGCTCCGATGTATTTGCCTCCTATCTTTCCGACAAGCGAACTATACCCTATGACTTAAGTTTTAGCCGAGTCCTCCTCCGGGGTGTTTCGCTGGGCTCTTGCGAAATGTAGATCGACGGTTGGATTACTCGGGCACAGGTGTGCAGATCTCGATCAATCAATCGATCCCGCGTCCTATACCTTCGTTCCTCGCGCCGACCAACCCGGTGGAAGACACGTAATTACTTTAATGATTACATCGATACTGAGTTAAAACTGACGACAAAGTTTAAGATCGCCTTCGTTACGCGCGCCTTATTAACACGTACACTGGTTGCATGCACACACATATCCTTTTTTCTATTTTTTTCCTCCTTATTTTCTGGTTTTTCTAGATTTTCCTGTGTCTTCTCGTACCCGTCGACGACGATTGGCAATAAAATCATGTGACGCACCGGCTTTCCGGATAAGTTCGATCTATACACGTCGAAATATCTTGTAAAAACGGGATACAGGGGATTGAGGGAAGAGGGTGGCGGTCGAGAATCGTTGGCAGGCAGTTTTCGATTTCATTATCACGTGATTCGTTTGACTTATCGTTACGGTGTATATCGTTAAGAATCCTAGATGAGAACAGTCTTCGGCGTTGTCGGTAGAAAATGATCGCGCGGCAATGGGACCCGCAGCAGTAATGATCGGCATCGAATCGTGAACGTGAACTTTCGTATGTATGCTTGGAATATGTAAATACGTGTGCGTGTATAATACGTATCGTCTTATCTGCGTTATCACAATATGCGTGCGGGCGAGTCACGCACGATCGCGTAAAAATCATTTAACCGGTACACGTGGCGCATCCACCGAATACGATCGCTGCGCCACGGAGAATCGTTAATTGTTCGAACGCTTAGGATTGTCGTCGCCGTAGGTTTCACATCGTGTCCAGCGCGTCTCGATGAATCGATCGGTCGTTGATCGCGGGCAGTTCGTTCAAATCGTTCGATACGCTCATCGCGATCTCTTCATTAATCTTCGCACGGATTAGTCGATTATTCATTAATTAAACGGAGTTCGTTGGGAAAGGGGCATTTGCATCAGTCATCATTCACACTCACATTCTTCCTCCGCTCTCACGATGTAAAAGAACAATTATACACGGACGTTACACGTATAACACGTTTACACTTAGATCAATTATTAGCATTCGATAGAGTTTAATTCATTAGCGATCGAGTTCTTGCGATCCGTTTGAATTTTCTTTTTCAGCTGTTTATTCGTTTATTTACGGTTAACTTCGTTTAAGCATTTGCGTCATTCTGCGCACGACTTTGATCGTGTGTGATCCGTGATCATCGCGTTCCCGATTTTTTCGTTCCGTTCCGTCTGCAGACTCGTCCGACCAGACTCAAAGTCGTGCGAGCCGAGCTGACCGCTCGATTCGACTGTTTGGATCCTCAATTCCTTGTGACATCGCATATTTCGAAGCGGTGGAAAGAGAGAAAGAGATGCAAAGAGTCACACCGGACCAGCGATTAAGTTTCCTTTTCGACATGCCAACTCGTATCTCCTGTTCTCTCGCTGTCGCGATTATACATAGCAGCGCGCAATGGAACGGGATTGACCCCGATCGATAGTACCCTCGACTGTTGAATGGAAATCAGAGAGAAGGGCTTAAAAACGAAACGAGAGCGAATACAAGCGATTCTTTGGTAAAGAAGTGGTCGAATGATCCAACTTATATAAAAGTACATGTCTATACGCATTTATGGCCGTGCGCGAGTGTATATGTGTATGTGTATGGCCGCGTGTGTATATACAGATATGAGGAGTGTACACTTACACAATGAAACAACGATCGACGGTTGGGGGGACCGGCGGGCGTGTCTCAGCAAAAGTGTTTTCTTTTTGTCTTCTTATTCGTCGTCATCACATCATCGTCATCATAATTATCATCATTATCATAATTATCATCATTATCATCATTATCATCATCATCATAATCATCATTACCACTATCTTCATCATTATCATCATCATTATCATCATCATAATCATAATTATCATCATCATCACATCATCATCATTATCATCATCATTATCATCACCATTATCATCACCATTATTATCTTCGTCTTCTTCTTCTTCTTTATCTTTCTTTTGTTTTGGCACCCAGCGCGCTACCGGAAACCGGGCCCCCCGGATTTATACCCTATGCCGCGTGCACGCGTACCCTCTTACTTTTTTTTTCTCGTCTGTGTGTTCCCGTGAGAGTACGCGTGCACCTATTTGACGCGAACGATTAATAATAATATTTACACGGAACGTGCTCGAACGGTTTCAGGAAAATGCTAAAATCGAGTCGCCGTCCTTCCGTTTTGTGCGAAGACGTGTCCAATCCGGAACTCCATTCGATGGACCCTGCGTTTGAAAATAAAGAAGAAGACACGTGTTTAAACCGCGCTGTTTGTAGTCTAGTCGAGTTGCAAATAGTAAACCGAATCTGATAAAGATTTTAACATTCTGCCTACTGCCGGTTTTTCGACAGTTTTTTTTTTAAGCCGGACTATTTTAATAATATTTATGAATATATTTGTAAATCAGCTGTTCTTTTGAAAACAGTTGTAGGTAGTAATTTGCCTACAACATATGTCGGCTGATATTGCGTCGGATCTAAGATCGCCTGGTTATGGATTCTGATCGTTCGACTACTCAGAACTGTGTACCTGCTTTGTGCCGAGTGTTTGTTTTTGGTGTTGACGAACAGAAGTGCTGTCTCGAGAGTTGTACAGGCTGATTTTGAATGTGTGTAAGGCTCGAGTGTTTGCTTAAAATTGATTTGAATATACACTTATAGATGAAACTGTTCGTGGAGATGATTCAAGATCGTTCTACCTGGGTCTTGAGATCATCTTCAGAAGGATTTTAGTTTTATGTAATTGTAAAATCGAGACACTTCTCTATAAATTTAAGGAAGTACTTACAGGATCGGGATTACACTTCGGACAGTGCGGAGCTCGATCGGTTACAGCGGCTCGGACCGGCTCGAGGAGACACTGCAACCGAAGATCGGCAAGCATCATTGAGGCAACATCTTGCAGCTCGTCTCCATACCTTCTGGCGGCACGCGCATGCTGCCGTTAGTGACGTATCCGTTCGCGTCAACGATCACGGAGACGCTTCCCGGATGATTGTGATAACTCACGTTCCGATGGGTCATTACGATGCTTTTCTCGTGTTCGTTGGCCGCGTGGGTCGACAGACAGCTTTCGCTGCTTCTGCTGCTGCATGGCTCCATCGAGTGGTCTACTCGGATTGGTATCGTGTAATCGGACATCGAGTTCACCTCAACTGTCGCGTATTCGCGGATCATTGTCGGTTTCGGTGAGTAATCCATTTGCATGTGTTGCATGGAGGAAGTCGGCACATCTGACGGGTCCGTCATCGTGGACACGTGGCCGTTCGCCATGGAATATAGATCTGGCTCCTCATGGCCTTTCGATGACAACATGGCTTCTAGACATTGGTACAACAGCATGTAATCCTCCTATTAAAACACAGAAATGTGTTAATTTGTTAGATTAAATATGATTAATAATTAATATTCTGACTAATCAGCATTCAGAAGTTATGTTGAAATATTACATTGAAACTGTTGTACAATGCATTAAAGATTAAGTCTGAAATACACCTTTGATCGGAAGACTCCAGGTCGCTTCATGTACAAGAGTTTCGCGAACATGTATATGTCGGCGCTCTTCTCGAACTCCAGTTGCTTCTTCAAAGTTGTAAGGAGTATGAAAACAGCAGCTTCAACTCCGCCATACCTGAAATAAGTGATAATGGATGTTACCTCTCTACTGAACACGTGTTATAACTTTGTGTACCTAGAAATCTTACCTATCCATCACGACGATAGGACCGTTTTGATAGTCCCGGTGTAAATCATGGATCAAAGTGACAAGTGGACGTGGATTCGTGTTATGTGGCCAGAAACAGGGATGGGACCGTGGTCCTTGGACGATTTTGGCACTCAGTTCGTAATCGTCTTGCAGGGATCGGACTGCGACCTCGCGGAGGATCATTCCGCTCGCGGTTTCCTTGATTCCACAGGATCGCACTCGGAAGGTCTCCGATTCTAGATCCTTTCCTTCGGTTGGCCAAAATTCGGGGTATTCCTAAAAGTGGAACAGTTCCAATTAAAATCTTCATTTTATTTTCCATTTTTTTAAATAGAAAGTAATGAAAGTAACGTCTAAATGACTTACATCGTTACATTCGGTTAACATGACCACGGTTTGCGCATTGTAATCCCACATGATCTGCCAGAATTCCATGATCGTGTTCTCCATAGGATGTTGAGTGATAATGAATTCTCGATTACGGTGAAAACCTGGAAAACAAGATTACCTTGTATATCGATAGTATAAATGATATGAGAAAAGCTTATATGGAGTTAGGAATGATCTTTGGTTAAATAAATTTATTGAACTAATAATCGAACAGGAAAATTTACCAGCAATCCATGTAGCGTTGATGTAATCGCTTCCATCGACTCCTGGTTTCGGAGTTAGGTGAACGCGAGCGGTCTCGATAGAGATAACTTCTTGATTGCGATTCTTGTGGAGGTTGCAGGGTTTGATCGCTGATACCAGATTGAACTCCTTCGGTTTCCAAGAAGTTACCAGCTGGAAGTAATTAATTATAATCTAGTTGGAGAGTTTGGTTATCAAGGAATACTTCGGTCTTGGGACAAATAAGGTAGAGTAGTACTTTATACTGTGCTTCCAGGTTATTCCACGCGTCAGTGTTGGTATTGTTAGGATTTAGCATATCTTGAACATATTCCATTAGGTTGTTCGCTTCAATGTTGGTCTCACCGCTCTCAATAGCCTCTTGCAGAGCATGATGGATGAACACGTACTGTTCTTCGGTCTGGACCAAGAAGTTCCGTTGCGTACGGATGTGTTTCAAGAATCCAAATACGTTCACCTCGTTCTTGCACTTGGCCTGCTTCAGCATTGCGTCTATAACGATGTAGGTGCCTGTGCGTCCAACTCCAGCACTGAAAGATACAAAATATTTCAATTTTGATAACTTATGATACAGTGTTCAAAGATAAACATAAATTCTTTGATTTTATCTGAGTGTCTGACAAGTTTCTTGCTTCCAAAATAGCTACTAATAAAGACTAATCTTATCTTTAATTGCATCTCTTGTTTTTTTCCTATTTCGTACCTGCAATGAACAACGATCGGCCCTGCGTCTGGCGGATTGGCGTTAGATGATTTCCGGATGAAGCTTAGGACTGGTAGAGGATGTTCTGGTACTCCATGATCAGGCCAACCGGTGTAATGGTACTGCCAAACGGTACGCTCGCCCATGTTCACGCCGTTCTTCCTCTTCTTCACCTGTGACGGCATAGGCGACTTCGAAAATTGAATAAAAATTTTCTCATCTAAATCACATGCTTTATTATGTATAGACCAACCTTTAGATGACGAATTTGAAGAGTGCGGATGGTATAGGTCGCCATCACGTCCTCCCTCAGCAGGGTTACTTGAATATATCCGTAGGTCTCAGATCCCTTCTTGGGCCAGTACATATCACATTTTTTCTACGATTCACACAAAAATAAGAAATATTGATTAAACAATTTTCATCACTGAAATCTAGTGAAAAGTGTATCAATGAATTCTTAACTGTTATTAAATAATCATTAATTTTTAGGGGATCAATAAAACTGTTGTAAAAATGAGAAATGTTGGATTCATGTACTTACGCGTCCACGTTCGACGAGATTGGTGATCATAACGATGATCGACACCCTCTGCTCCCACACCATGCGCCAGAATCCGTCGAATGTTGGCGGTAGAGGACCCTGTGTACCGATATAAGCGCGTGCACGCTGCCAACCATCGATGTAATTCGCGTTTACGTAATCGTGGCCCTTCTTGGGCGGACCTCCGCCGCATGATAGCAATTGTACCCTGGTGTGATCGTCTGTGAATCAATATTAAATTGTAAAGTTGGAATTGCCGACTCACAACAATCATAAACATATTAAAGATCCTTCAAACTTAATTTTTGATGACCACCTTTTAAAAACCACGATGACGATTAACCTTCCCATGAACGACCAGTCATTAAACTCTTAATATTTAAACTGTTCTGCGAGAATTTTTCTTCCGAAAGCATGAATCGACTGCGATATTTTCGCAGGAACACAAAAAATTGTTAGAGGAAATATAAAAATGGATATCCGGTTGTCTGCACATGGTTTTACGACGATCGAGGTCGATTGTGAACAGTTCAATTCAGGAAATCCGTAGGATATGCTTGCAGATTTCGATCAATCAGGTGATCATGCATTCGCTGCTTCGTCTCTCGCTGCTCTTCTCGCTGATAGGCATTAACGAGCAGTGCCGCGAAGCATCTGTGACCTCATTGTCGACTGCTGCCGGTCAGTCACATTAAAAGCGAACGAGAGCCGCTCGTTAATCCGATAACATTGCGAATGAACGAGGCTTACGATGCCGTTGCACCGCGAATTTCGAGTCGCCGCGGTCCGTTCGAATTCGCGGCCAAGATACCCCTTATCGGGACAGTTTGCGGTATCTTATCGTTGGAAAATTGCGAAGGAGTTTCTTGTTGCGTCTTTCGTGAAGTGTTCACTGATAAAGTGCATCGGAACGTATTCATGCACACCGCAAACGTGAGGGGTGTGCAGAAAAATATCGAGCATACTATTCGGTGTGTTCAAATCAATATTTTATCAAAAATATTTCAACCAAGAGATGCGAATTTTATGATCCTAATATAACCGTTTCAAATATTTTTATTTCAGGCAAGATCAATTCTCATGTTTCCGACTTCTCTATTCGTTCGTTGAATAATAAGTAAGCACACTTGTAACGATAACTACGTATAAAAATTCATGAGAATAATTTAAATACATCAAAATAGACTACTTAACTTCCATAAGTATATATCTAGTGTATCAAAAAGAATTTCGAAATATATTCATAATGGCAATCAGGCACACTTTAATGCCGAACACTTTAACGCTTCGCGGTGTAATAGTGAGGAGACCTGATTATTCGATACTGCAGCGCCGAGATAAATGAATCACTTTAGATTCTACTAATCGAGTGCGCAAGTACTAGAGAATGTTTCGACGCTCTCAGCCTAATATTTTAGCACTCCGTACCCCGGGCCCTTTGGTGCTTCAGCACTTCAACAGTGAGTGCGTAAGTACTTCGACGTTCTAGTGCTTCGGGACGTAAGACCGTGATGCTCCAGAATTCTCTAATAGTATATCAATGTTCCGTTTTCGCAAGTTTCAATCAATTCGTCTGTCAATCGGAGATCAAAGGGCTGCGCGAAACGATTTGATATAGTTCAAGCGACGAACGGATGAAATAGATAGACGAACTGTGACGGGTTTCACGAGTCACGAGCGATCATCGAGGCCGGTTGATTTCACGAATCACGACGAAAGCCGCGGAGTTAGAAAGCGAGATCGAGAACAATTTCAGCTCCATTGGAGACCGCTTCCCCGCGAGGTCGGTCGACCGGCCGGCGCGGCATGGCGTTGCGACGATTGCAGACTTCCGATACGCGTGACTACAATTGTCGCATTGTGACGGCTTCGTCTCTGCCCCGGCGAAGGTGAAACGTGCGTCAACTGGCTCGACGAGCCGACGAAAGGCTAAACGCGACGGTCTAATTACTTCGGAACGAAGGAGGAAGAGGACATTTACAAATGGGGGAAAAATGACGCAGCGGCGGCGCGGAACTAATCAATTCGACGAAGAGTCTTTAGTCGTTTCCAGTTGGACTGTGATCAATGCAGCACTAAATCCCGTATTAACGGTTAACACTCGTAGTCAAGTAAAATGTTTCTTCACGAATGATTGCGGTTGAATGTTTAGAGTGTGCGGAATAAGGAAATTGATCATTGATAAGGAGCTTTATAACTGGTATATTTGATTAAGGTATTGAAGTTATCCGGGAATGAAGTTTCCTCTTCGGTGTTTCTAGATGGAATTGATCATAAGAATCCATCGGAGGGGCTCGCTATGCAAACGAGATAGTTTCGATCGCGACTGCATGGAAGATAACGCGCAGTATCCGCGACAGTTCGTGGGGCCGGAGTAAAATTAAACGGGCCGATGTATCGCGACGATGAAAGGGAAACTCGCATCGTTTAAAATAGAAGCTACCGCCCGCGCAGCGGCAGAAAGAAAAACAGGGGCGGCAACGTGGTTCTGTCAAAACCGCGCGTGGAAAAGCTCGAAATAAATTTTACAGACGAAACCGCGTCCCCGCGATTTAACGCTCCAGCATTTCCACAGAAACGTTCCGAGAATATTTTAGATGGCTTTTGTGCCGTCATCATAATAAATCATCCGTAACGAAGGAAACCAATTTTTGGCCAACCTTAGGAACTTCAAAACCATACTGTACCATTTTCAAATATTCTACCGCTCGAAAACATTAAATTACTTCATTATAGACACAATAGTACCTCGATTAAATTCTCCTTGGCAATCTTCAGAGTAGTGATTATTCGACAAATCAATAACTTTGATTTTTAGATTATCTTTGAATTTCTCTTCTTGGATTATTTATCAGAAATGTTAGTCGCCAAATTAAATAGGACAATCGGGGTTCTACTGTACTTCTAGCAATGCTAGTCTGTCGTCCGAGGTAAAACTGAAAATTCTCGAGTCAACGGAAGTCAACAAAGAATCGGTAGAAATAAACGGTACTCACATGCCAGTATATTCATGTATCGGTTCTTCGCTTTGTTCTCGACGTACTGGGAGTTCTCCGCGGTGAGTTTGCCGGTCTCCGATTGAATGAACTCGTACTCCTTGCTGAAACCGATGTCGCTGTCCGCGTGTAGGCTCGCGACGTGCTGCACGAACTTCTGTATGGCGACCGCGGTCCGTTCCCCGTCCTGTTCGGTGTTTTCCCATTCCTGGAGCGTGGGCACGCTCCGGGGCGGATAGTCGAGGAAGTAGTAAGCGGTGTGGAAGCATTTCCTGAAAATTGGCCTCAGGCAAGGCCTGATGAGTTTCACCGTAAGCATGCATTCGAACGAAAAAGTAAAACAACAGAACGAGGAGCGCAAGGGAGACGTGAAAAGAAGAGAGAAAGAAAGCAACGGGACGAGAAGCGAGGAGAGAAAAGAACGGGTTTATCGCGCAGTGAAACGATACGCCGTTATCAGTGTCACCGTAGCGGCTCGCCGCTGAAAGCGAAGCGAATTGTACGCAATAAACAGATCCAACGGAAATCCGACTAACGTAACCCGGCTCAACAATCTACAGAAACCTCCGAATAATTCAGGGATCTATTCTTTTCTTATCGTTTGCGATACGTATGTCGCGATACGCTCGCGTTCACGGTTCCTCGGAGATCGACTAACACTAGGTTTATAGAACGCGTCAATTTCACGCATATTGTATTTTATAAATTTGATTTGATAAGTGATCACGTTCATTTTCATTGACGCAATTACACGAACATGTATCTGAACTACTTTTAAACCTCGAGTTTCTAAGATGGAGATGTACGAACATCAAACTTTCTAGGAACAATGGTACAAAATATACAATAAACGTTCGTAAACGTAGTGTTAAGAAACTCCTCGGACACTTCTCCACTCACAACTCGAAGTACTTCTTCATCGCGTCGACCTGCATCTCCCGTTATCCATGATAAGCGTGCACTGCGTAGCGTACCGACCGATCGGTACCAGATAATTGCGGCCGCAGATTCCTCCTCGTCCCGATCGCGAGGATATCGAGCAATCCGGAAGAACCGTGACACAGATATTCTAGTTCCTGTTACGATGCGTTCCGCAACGGGTCGCGTTGTCTTGTATCGATGGCCTTCAGCATCCTTCGCGAGACGACTGAAGGAAAAATCGAATATTGTCGTCCGGCAACACGTGCTCCGTTACACGAGCACGACCTGCGCTACGTGTGGCTCCCGTCGATCTGCCACGCGAAACGCCGCCGCTCGGCTGGGAAGCCTCACTTCGATGTCGTTGCCGACTGTTATCACGACCGATAAGCGGTCAACGAGTCGACGAGCGAGAAGAAAGATTTGCGGGGGAGGGGAGCGGAGGCGAACTTCGAACGAAGTAACACCGAAAACGTCTGTCAGTCGTTTTTGTTGTTTCCCTATATCATTAGCGGTGCACCGTTAATTGTCGATTTGAAAAGGATTGAAGATTTACGAGAATATGTGGAAACTTCGATGTTTCCTATTAACTCTTTTGTTGCCGCGGAATGGTTCGATAAAGTAGTTTCCCTATGCAACGTCGCGCGATTCGTACAGGTCGGTGAAATGTTCAGAAGTAGCGGGAACTATTTCGTTTTCGTTAGTTGTGACTTCATTTTGTTTTACAGAGGACGGCGAAGGAGAAATAGCGTTCAGGGAGAAGTAGGGAAGAGACACGCATGATCATGGACACTTGTGTGACTAACCATGTTCACGGACACGTGATGTGGTTTGCCTCGTTTTATCGTCCATGCGGCTATGCTTTCTTTCTGTGGCGCGTGGTTGAATTTTAATGAGACGCGACATTTGCCCCCCGTAAGGTCTCACCGGAATTGTGAGACAGAGGGTATAGTCAAACTTTTGACTCGAAATTTAAACGAGACAATGAGCTGAAGAAAACACAACGGAAAAACTGGGTTGCATTGATTAATGAAATTTTGTACACCTCCCGGACGATTTTAGTCACTGTGAGTAACAAAAGAGTTAATGTTAGAATCACTGTGATGATTAGCCTGGACGGTTCAGCTTTTACGTCCTGACTTATGTTATTCCTACTTTTTACCGATGTCTTTCGTCCAGACAATTAAGCTAATTAAATCAATTTATATGTTTCTATAACAAAAAGCACGACGAAAAACAAACACCTCTTTCCGTATTAAATTAACCTGAAAGCTGTGCGATGATTAAAGAATTTGCAGGACATAAAGAGTCCAATATGCGTAGGCATTCATTTTTCTTCTCGCAGGGGAGAAAGACAGAAGGATAATTAAGGGGATATCGTAAGAGAAGATCGCTAGAACACACGAACAGCTAAGTTCGTCTGGAAGAGCATAAAGCGAATCACGAAACTCAATGAAAAAGTATGCTCGTCCACGACAAAACATTGAACGATCGATCCAGTTAGCGATGATCGCCGTCAAGAATTTATCGAGAGAAATAAAGCTGCTGCAAGACAGTTACCTTGCCAATAATAGTATATTCCTTCTGAACTGAACGACCTGATCCATCGCGGCGGACAACGAACGCGGTTACGACGAGACGTCGACTAACAGGGATATTAAGTCGGCGAATGAGAGCCAGATAAATAAGTGAAAAAAATGTAGAGCGAGCCAAGATAATTCGCCTTCCACCGATAACGAATTACCGATGACGGTGTGCAACGTTTCGGTACCGATCACTATCAACTAACTTTATCAGTCGCATTGATACCGATCCGAGTACGCGGAGTCGTGTACGGAAAAGAAACATCGGGAGGATTCGTCTCATGCGGACGGAACGAAACGCATAAAATATGAAAAAAAACAAACAAATAAAATAACGACACAACGAGAAAAGAGATTTATCGATCCTCACTTCCATACGACGAAGGACGTGATCATCAGCATCACTGCCAGGCAAGCGCAGATCATCCCGGCGATCACTCCGCTGCTGAACTTCCTGGTACTGTGCGACAGCAACGGTGGAACTTTATCGCAATCGCGAGTCGCGCGGACCTTTCGTGGGATGGAACCTTCGCCGTTTATGATCAGCCGCTTGTCGATGGCACTCCGCGTGCCTCCGCGCACCACGATCTCGTAGACTGTGTTCATCGTCAGGTTTGGTATGATTGTCTGCGAATCAAATAACATTTTGCCACGTGAGCAGCTTCTTTTGAATCTTACAACTGAAACACAGGAGATTTCTATGAAACATTTGAGTACAGTGGAACCTTGACCAACTGGTTCGCAATCATCCGCGATGATGATGGGAAAATTTATTATTATCGAAACCAAATTGAAACAGAGATGTACAATTATGTATTGAATGGATCACGATTTCAATGGTCAAATATAAATTGAAACGTAACTTCATTGTAAATTTCTTAACAAATGCCTGACTCAGTGAATTAAAAATTCCATATTTTTTACTGCTAGTGATCATTTCCGAGATTCTCCTTATCTCTCAGGAATTAATTTATCCAACCCGCCGTCCAATTAAACCAGTTGTTCGAAATGCTGTAGTCGTTTTCGGAATTCGAGGACAGCCTGCTACAGGACAAGATACCACAGTTTCCGTTGCCAAACGCTTCCGACAGGTCAGATAGCGCGCAACGATCAACCGCGACCGTGCGCACAAGAAAACTCGGTTTCGACAAAACAATCGACGTCCTCCAACCGTGGAACAATTTTCAATGGGACTAGAAGCGGGTGTATACATTGCAGGCAGCGGGTATCTCGATATTCGATTGAAGAGGAATCCGCCCACGGCCAGAGAAGCTCGATCGGTCGAGAAAACGAAAGGTTCCGGGGTTGAGTTTCCGGTCTGGTAAACCTCGTCGCCGATCCCTTTCACAATCCGAGAAATCCTTGCGAAGACGAAGGAATGCGTACGGAAAGTGGGAAGACTGTCGCCGACTGGACGATACCCTAAGACCTGCTTCACAGTAGCCAGGCAACGTGACGGTTAAACCAGGTCAAGTCACGAGTAATCATGATCGTTCACAATGTAATAACATATAACTTGATGAAAGCATTCACAGTTGGCGGAGGGTCAAGTCAAATTGAAATTCGTTGATCATCCAATTGCTTTATTGCCGATCAAAGACTGCAGAAACTGTAATTTGATCTGATCGCCATAACTATCATTCCAAAAGGATCATAGATGATGATGAATAATTAATGAAGTATGTTCAAGATAACGTATTTGAGCGAACGAACAGAAATAAAAGATATATTGACGGGATTTAATTGTTTCTGATCGTTGAATGTGAACGCCTCAGTAAAGTCCTTGATCGTAACTGATCGTCATCTAACCGTACTGTTGGCCGTTAGTGTGAATTAAGCCTTAGCTCGGCGAGCGTAACGGAAGCGTCGAAGCGAGAAGCGGAAAAGGGCAAGAGACGTACGCCGCTCTCGAGATGATTCTTCTCGGTAAGCACTTCGATCTCCTCGTAACGATCGTCGTTCTCGATCCGGTATTTAATGAAGTAGTAATCGATCGAGCCCCAGAAGATGTTCGGTCTTGCCCATTGGATGTAGACGGAGTCGTGGGTCTGGCAGCTGACGTTCAGGATCAACGGGGCGCTCGGCCCGGAGATGTCCGTCTCCCGGATGATGTGGTCGGAAAGTTCGCCCTCGTTCCTCCATGTGTACGCCTGCACCCATATTTTATACTCGGTGTTCGGCTCTGGAAAAGAAAAGCGTTCCCTTTAATCAGCACGGGAAGATCTACGGTACTGCGCCTCGGGTCGTTTGGCCGGGTACCAACTGTTTTGGCTCCGGGACAATGACGGCAAAGGCTCGTGAAATTATTCGAGCACCTTCCCACTCGGTATTCTAGTGTACTAGTTTTTAACGAGCGCAACAGAGTTCGGCGTTATTCGAACTGTTTCCGGTAAATGTTTGCACGAGATAATTAGCTTCATTAAGGATCCCCGTCGGACAAATGGCAAATTGTTTCCGTCTGCTCGTTTGGAGTGATTCCTTGTTATTTGTTCGATCCATTTGCTCGAGAGATTATTTCATTAGTTTTAAAGAAACATTCATCGATTTTAGAGAATTAATATTAACAATAACATTGATTTTTCACCATGGAATATTTTGGATTCCTTTTAGTACACGCAATTCGAAATTAGGAAGATCACGATACGTCCGGCTAGAAACGAGGATCGAGTGCATCGTTAGCTGAATTCATGGTTCTGTCGCGTTATCTAACGGTGCGTTCATCTGCACTCGTCCAGCCCAAACACGTCGATAAGAGCTTATCGACGAGCCAACTGTGCCGACGTCTCTCATTTCTATACCTGAACGATAATTCTTGAAACAGACAATACTGGCGTTGTTTGCTTGATCTTGGCCAAGCCCGTAACTAGCGGGACCGAACGTGTAACACGTCTACCAACTAGCAAGTGATTATAAGCGGAACGGGGTCGAAAGAAGTTAGAGAAAAGTCGATAACGGAATAAACATTGTCTGGCTTCCATCGCGTTGCATTAACAGAGAAACGAAGCAGTGGACAGACTGGCGAAAGAAACAAGTAGTCGAGGGAACACGGACACGCCCATTTTACATGGAGACATTGCTCGCTCATTAAAAGACAACATACGGAAAAAGATCGGAGCGCAAACGGTTAAGAAAGATTAATCGCGAAGGAATGCCGTATTCCAAGAAATACTATAACAGCGGAAGGAAGTTGAGGTTTTGCATTCAGTTTCTTGTGAGATTTAAACCTAACCATTAACCGTTAGAATTTGACTGAATCATTTGTTCAGTAATATTCCTTAAAAGTAACATTAAAGCTATCGTTTGAATGGCGTAATAGATTTTTCCATTTTGATCGTAATAACGAACATTTGTTTTCAATGTTTCCTTCGATAAGTATATTATAGTTATCGTAAGAATATTTCGTTCAACCAGGAATACTAACTCAGTTCCTTTAAGACGAATTCGATGATTGAGCCGTCGGACTCGTCGTGTTTGTGCATGCGAACGTCGGTGCAGTTGGAATGCCTGTAGTAGATGCGATAACCGGAAATGATCCCATTGGCGCTCTCCGGCTCGGACCATGACAATTCGATGGTGGTGGAGGTGATATCGTGAGACGAGAGGTTCAACGGTTTCGTCGGCACTGCGAACAAAAAATTGATACATGAAATTAGAATAATTCGAGCTCGATTTAAAGATACCTAGAACTCTTCTATCTACACATTAACGTTTTATTTAGCGGAATGCTGAACATCTGTGCTACAGCGAAAAGAAATCGAATAACGTTTCCTTGAACAATAATCTCAAAGGAAGAATTGTATGTTCATGTCACTGCAGGTGACTCGTTAATTTACGATTGTAATAGCAGTGCCCATTTAAAAAGTTCATTAAGAAATCTTTAACGGTTGATCTTTAGTTCTTTAACGACCGTGAAATAACCCTCATCAGGCGAAGCGTCAATGTTCGCTGCTACTTTCAATCCAATCGCATGAGTTTTCGCGTAATACCGTTCTCGAACGAAATATCCCCGAGAAGATTGTACGAAACAGCAATCTTCCATATTTTACGTCCGCTAAGGCTCAATATCCACGGCTCCATAAACTATTTTTCGGTCGATGCACTTGGCGGCGCGCCTCCTTCTCCCCCGTCCCGCCCTCTTTACCCTTTTTCGGCGGGTCGCTCGGCCTGCTCGTCATCTTTCAAGGTGGCTTTCCAATTTCCCGCGTACAAAGACGAGGGCCGGCTCGCGTCGGCCGAAGTCTGAATAATTAATTTCGCCTCGAGTATCTTCTCAGACCCCTTCGCGCCGGTGAAGCAACCCCCTAGGTCGGCCGCTCTGTTTCCCGGGCTTTTTGTGCCGCTCCCGACCGCAGCGTCTAAGACCTGAGAACCGCGTTCTCGACGACGCGCCTAAAGCCGTCTCTATTCGCGAATAAGTCGCGGGACAATCGGGCTTAACTGTTTGAGTGTGGCCGCTCATTCCAGAAATCCAGTCGAAGAGTGTCGGGATCGTCGCTTTCGTTTTACACCCCCGGGATCTCGCTCGGAAGGGTGCATGTAGAAAGTAAAGGGACGATCATCGATCTTTCTGAAGCTTTGATCGGAGAATATTGTTTCCTTATCATTGTTTTTTGTTGAATTAGAAAAAGAACTGGGGACGACGCCGAAGCTGCGAGCAGAGAATAAGAGAAAATCAGTAGGAAAAGAAAACTATTTACTTATCGGAGCTACTTAACTTATAAAAAGAAGCCGACGATAATTTGTTTCTTTGCAAATGTATATGTTCGTAGGTGGAAATGTCGACGCGCTACTGTTCCTCAGTGCAATAGCCTGATCCGCACTGTTTCGTGCAACGTCTTGCCTCGACTTTTCTTATTGTCAGGTATAAATCAGGTAGCCAGGGTTCGAGAGCCTGGCCCCTGCTTGCAATTAAGCATCTGGACGCTCGTGGAAGATCGTTCCAGATGCTCGACAGCGGAGGTGTACGCAGATGTGAATAGTTTCGGTTCTCTCCCGCATCTCGCATAAAAAGGACATTTGATCGATTTTCTACCACATAACTTAACATTTTCTACTGTAGAGACAAGAATAACTCTTGAATTATTTAGCAGAATGACTTGAATGTTACTTCATGCAGAATGTGTTTAAAGTTTATAGAATGTTCAATTCATACGTGGATCATGTTTGATTTCACATTTCACTAAATGTTCACTCTTTCCTGTATTTGATTATTAAATACCTTTTTTTTTTACTTCAATTCGTTGTAGCTTCAACGTAGATAGCGTAAGACAGAATTCAATTTACACTTTTCTGGAATGCATGGAATTAGAGCGACGCGATTACCCTGCACGCGAATGGTTTCAAGATGAAATCGAGAAGATCACGCGAGGGAAACTAATACTCACCGAGTGAGCAATTGTTTGCGCTGACCAGGGAAACGTCCCTAAAGTCAACGCGCCACCCTAATGCTGCGAGGATGGTCAAGGAGTCATAAATTATTCTGCGAGGGACGACGAGTGAGAACTTTAGTGTCTGAACGTGTTGCTCTTCCTCGATGACAGTGTTCCTCGTTGGAAGGACCACGCGCGATATAAATACGTTCTCTTGACAGGTTCCACTAGGGAAGATGTGGATTATGCATCGTGCATCAGTAAGCAGATATCACACGTGCGCAACATGTGCTTGGAGTTTTTTTTCATTCGGCTGAAAAAGTTCGCTTCTTGAAACAACGGATACGTTGTATACCTTTTCCAGGATATTTACAGTAAAATTATCCACCCTCGTCCGCATTTCAACGTTGTTACAAATATGTCTCCCAAAAAGGAAAAGAAGAATCCCAAATGAATGATTAGTTTGCCAGTTAGTTTGTTTCAAGCCACGAAGCTCAGTCTGTTCAGGATTAAACCAAAAAACGATAGCTGAAAAGCTAACCTAATAGACTCGTTTCCCTCGAAAAGACGATTAGCAGAAGCAGCAATAGAACGAACACAAGCGTGAAACGCTGTTGCACGGCTTCGCGATTGAATTTCGTGGAGTTTCGGCACCGGGGAGTTGGTTCCAAGGGTTCAAGAGAATTTCCAACGGCATCGAACGCTAAGCGAACGTATGGAACAAGAAATTCGCGATCGGATTCTGCAGATATCACGGACGGAAACACGAGTGGTTGTTTAGTGGAATTTTCAGTCGGCACGTTTGGTCGTGTTTCCGGCTCCGAACGATATCCCGGGCGAAACTATATCCTCGGTCACCAAACGGACTTCAATAACGCATGCTTACACCCCTAGTGCTTCTACGTAACATAATACCTTTGCAAACGGGAGTGAAACGTTCGCGGGGCTGATGACGTTAAACGTTCGTCATGTGCTTCGTGTTTGGGCAGCCAACTTTTAATATGGTCGATCGATCACTTGGGTGGTAAATCGTGCATGATAGAAAAATCGGCGGTTTTAATTTTCGCTTGAATGCAATTCTTTTTGTTTCGGTTTGCTGAGATACACCACTAAAGAAAGACTCGGGTTAATAGTTTCAGTCTGATAGAAACGGTAAAAAGGATTGGATTATTACGAAAGCGTACATGCAAAATATAAAATGCACAATAGAACGGAAGAAGTATGTTACTAGGTAATTCGACAACAATGACTCAACAATAATGCAATTCCGACGAGTGCGGTCGCCAAAGAAAAATCACGCGGTAACGACTTAATAAACGACACCGAACATGGGCGTCAGCCAGCAATTGATCGTGTAAATCCACTCATGCCCCGACGAAAAAGGTTTACGCGTGAAAATTCCTGTTGCTCGGGTTACAGTTGTACATCGATACGATCGCTCAGACAAATTGCGTTCGGACTGTGTATATTCACGTTCGAACTAGATCGAATGAGTTTTAACTCGCGATGCGCAGTCCGGAAACTAGTTTACAATTTCACGTTGAAAGGGAAAAAGCATAAAACAAGCGACGTACTCTCGACGATTCGAGAGCGCGGTCGTTCGGCTTGTCCACTTTGATCATTTAACTTTCTAAGCGAACTAAACAACCCGGAATATTAACGAACTATACATTACAATTAACCGTGAAGTTTCGCGAAGTGACTTTATAAATAAAAATGGTAACGTCTCCATAAGTATACGAAATATGTTGACAGATGCCTCCTCGCAACCGAAAGACGCCGCGAAATTCATCCGCTCGCGTTCCCACATTTCGTATTCACCCTAGGCCGTTTCCTGGTGCGTTTCCGCGACGGTTTTTCTACGCCGGTTCGCCTGGAAAGCGATCGTCTCGCGCCTCCAGCCATCCGAGTCTCTATTTCGGTCCCCCCTGGTGCATGAGAGAGGAAAGAAGTCACGGGCCGCGTCACTCCATTTGGTATTCACCGTGCATCAAAGGATGGAAAACGAAGAGACGAGTTACAACGCGGATCGGAGGAATCTTTAGAATTCGCGGCTGGACGATGATGTTGTATCGAGAGTGCGCGCGCGCAGGCTGAAAAATGAATACGATTACACGGTGAATAGGCAAGGTCGAGCAACCCGCTCCTGGTCCCAGCGCACGGTTCAGGGAAAAGGGAAGAGAAAGGAGAGAACCAGTCGCGCCGACTACGTCGACGACTCGCTGCCTTTTTTTCTGTCCGAGTTTTCCGGGTTGCACGTGACCGAAGGAAAACACGATTCCTGCGACCCCTTGCCTCTCACTACGTTGGAAAGATTAATCTGATTTTTTCAAGATGGATTCTTTTTTTAAGGAAAACGTACAATGATTATTTCTGTGCGAGACGAAACTTTTCTGATTGATTATTATACGAATGTTTTACGTTACAGTTAGAATGATAGGTAATAGAATATTCGGTAGCAATGTTAGGTGGTTAAAGGAAAACGCGAATCCTCTGACCCTTTTACTGTCGCGTTTTTGAATCTACGCACTTCTTTATCTCTTATTACGGTAAACAATTTTCTCGAACGTTATCATTTCCATAAAACGCTTTGCAAGGAAAAGAGAGTCGAAGTTGGCACCTGCGTACAAAGCCGCCCGAGTGGTTACTCAGATTGGATTTCTGCGTCGCGTCGTCGCGAACGAAACGATCGGCAATTGTTCGTCACGGAGTTACCGCGAATTGGCACCGCCATGTTCTAAGCGGATGACTAATCCTCTACTGCAAAACGAAACAATCTATCCATCCGCGATTCTTTTAAACGCAATCCTATTTTAACGGAAGCCGAGCCGCCCCCGTAAACTTTGACCGATTCGAGTTTATGGATCGATTCTTCCCGGAAATAACACGTCATACTCTTTCTTCGTACGTTTCGCCGCGCGCCCGTCATCGATGCTATCGGCCGTTCAAATTATCACCAGAAAGAAACCCAGTGACCGGAAAATATTAGTACAATGTAGGAGAAAAACTGCCGGCGCTCAGGCAACACTTTGGTTAATGGCTCGGCCCGAAACGCGACTAATAGGTAGGTGAGTCAGGATCACGCTATCGACGGTATCGCGGAACGATGACGAGCCATTGAATTACGAAAGAGAATTCATAATTAATGTCCTTATTTTATTTACTCCGATGATGCGCTCGTAAGATGACAAATCGAATTGCGTTCAAGGTAACGTTCGCAAATGAACTGTCACCAGGAATGAATTCTACAATT